ATTTACTTAACATAGTACTGCAAGTTATAATAAAGATTGTATGAGTTGCTAAACCAGCTGATATCCTTTCCCAAATCATGTGTAAAAGGACATCCTGTTTCAGTTTTTTAAAAATAAAAATATTCATGTTCTTGTTCCATTTTTGTTCTTACACATTCAACTATGTCCTTTATATTTGGCATTTTGATTTATTAGGCAATCTTAGCATTAAAGACTTTTAGCAAAGCAGTACAAAATTTCAAAAGCAATGTGCCTAGTATCCATGATGAATTAATTCCACTAGAGCACAAAAGTTTTCATTATTTAAATGCTAGTGTCTTACAGAAGTTTTATGTCACAGTCAAGTTTTTAAAATCAGAATTTAGCTGATATTTTGAGGTAAATGCATGTGATTTTTTGTTGCATATGCAGGTTTTCCTCATATTTAACCCTTTATTATGTGAATCTGCATAGAAATATTTAATAATACTAAATATTGACAATTTTTAAATTATTAAAATTATTTAAAATACATTACAACTTTTCAATCTTATGGTGTACTTTCATTTAAATGCCATATTAAAAGTCTTGGATTTAATGTATATATTTTGTTCAATAAACTAGATACTGGAAGAAACCAGATCCTGGACATAAAATATATTTTAATGTCACTATAACTTTATTTAAGAAAAGTTCACAGAAATAAATTCTTATAAACTTTTTATATATACTATTATTAGTTTTTCAGAAAGTAATTTTAATCCATTTTTTCATTAAATGATAGCATGCCAAAAATTGAGATTTAACATTAAGGCACCAAGATTATAAGATGAAGTGTATGTGTATGTAGGGAATGTGGAGGGAAGTAGAGGTTATTTCTCCCTTCTTTGACATATATAGATCTATCTATCTATCTATCTATCTATCTATCTATATCTATCTATCATCTACTCATCTATCTATCTATCTATCTATCTATCTATCTATCTATCTATCATCTATCTATCCATATACATACATATGCATACATACACATGGGGGTCAGTGGTGCAAAAGAAGAAGGCAGGGAGAGCTGTAGGGAAAATGAGAGAGGCAGAGAAAAAGATGAAAGAGAAGTAGAGAGGGAAAAGTTGAGTACGCAACAAGGACCAATAGTGTCCCTGGTGGTGGCTGAGATAACATAGTTAACAGGTCAGGTTTCTCATTTTTGAACATTGTAGTGAATATGGAATAGGATATACGCAGGTTTCTGTTATTGCCTGGCAAATGTCTGTCTCACATGGTACAGTTTTATACCAATGGAACCCATAACTCTAAGAGGAAATATAAAACCAACAAGTCTAGCATTCAGGACTACCCTATCATAAAGTAAGGAGGTCTAATTGAGCTATGTCTTTATATCCTGCTATTTGTACAAATAAAAGACTACATCTTGATGCAAAATAAACACAAAAGCACTGTTGTGACTATAACAGGGAGTCATATACTAATTTATATAATAAGTGGTTGTGCACGCTTTATTCAAGATTATGGCTGCAAGAAATGGCATGAATTGCTGGGTGTGTTTAATGCTGGATTATAGCAATTTGAAACATGTCAAACACATGGCTAATGCCTCATGCTTCACTCATTCTTGCGTAAACCTGCATAGCCACCATCCATTATACCCTTGGTAACAACACAATTCTGCAAGTAAATATTGTTACACTAAGTAACCTTTCAATTCAAGTTGTTTAGGAAGAGAAAATGCAATCTTGTGCAGTCAGTTCCAGTGTCAGTTTAATGTTTCAAAAGGGAAGTGGTGTAGAGAATAAGTATCTGTAGAGTGACTCGCTTTTAAAAAAGAAGAAAGGGAAGAAGGAAAAAGGAAAGGAAGGAAAACTTGCTGCTGGAAAGAAAAGTAGAACAGTATCATCTGAGTGCAAGATATGAAGAGTTATGTTCTGATGTAGCTGAAAAGAGGTGGATGATGAAAGATTTAGCTCACAGTTCAGACAAACATTAAAACGATGACTCCCAATTTCACCTTTCCCTTTAATGACCTGGGATTTATCTTCACAGATTTTTGTAAAATGTTTGTGGTAGGATTGAGCAGAATGAATAATTTAGTTTGATATGTTTGGGACTACAAGCCCATTCATTTAGAAAGAATATGCTGAATCTGTACTTTTAAAGGTAAACAGCACCTCGGATTGTGCTAGAAATATTTCCTCTAGAGGAAAATAGATGTGCAGGTGTCAGTAGTAAAAACTTAGAAAATGCTGGGAAGCATTTTCATTATCTTTGAGGCTACATCTCCTTTATAGTGGACATACTCCAAGCTTTGGATGAAATAAAGTTATTATACCATTTTCTTGCGTTTGGCATATTAATGTTGAGTCTAATGCTTCTGTTTTATAAATAAAAAGTACTAACACTTATTGTTTTTCTTAAGCCTGATTTTAGTAACTGTTAGATGATTGAACTTAAAATGTAAATCACAATTTATACTCTAGAGTTTTATAAAGTCAAAAATTCCACGAGGAACAATAAAATCCTCTGGTTAATAGGATTTGGAAGTTATGTAGATCTGTCTTCATAATTATAATAAAGATTTAAACCCATGACTCTCTGCTTGCTGATTATTCTTAATTGTTTGATGGCCTTGGTTATAATACAGAATTCTTTAATTCATCCAATTGGTACTGACAGTAACTACCCAAAGGTTACTATTAAATGCTTGCACCTGTCTGCTACATTTGAAAATAGTTTCAATTTTTTTAAAATTTTTTTGTGTTGCAAACTCCACCCAGAGATAAGTATTTCAAATAAAATCGGATGATGAAGGAAAAACATACACATGCCAGCTGTATTATCAAAAGTAAAATTTAAATGCAATATTTAGAAGTTATGTCTATCTGTTTCCACAGTTGGAGAGGACCCAAATTATAATTTTCATATAACTAGTAAAGGGAATCAAGACCTTTTCTCTGAATATTTTAAACATTGTGCATGTAAAATTTATGTCTAATTTGAATACTTATTAGCTGCCTAATCTCAGAAAAGAGTATTAGCTTTGTTTTTTCCTTATAAAATTCATCACTGTGTATCAGTTTTCATTAGTATGATTTTTCTTTGTTAATGTTCAATAAGATGTTTAACAAAACCAATTTCTGCATAAACACATGTGGTTCAAAATTGTTTACTATGGTTACGGCAATTGCTTCTTTTATGATTATGGGATATTTTTGTTGTTGCTTTTTAAAAAAATCAGAATAACTTTCATTTGTATATGTAGTTTTTTGTTATACTAATTTGCTTTGCTAGCCCAGCTACATATGGTCTTTTATGAATAAGCAAGTCTTTTTTTGAAATTGATTTTTTAAAGTTATAGAATGAACCTAATAATTTAGGCTTAAGGAAAATACCTGTTAAAACTATTGTTATAACTATTAATTTTAATAATTATAATATTAATATGCAAACAAATCTCTGTTGAATATATATATATAGATATATATATATATATATATATCTATATATATATATATATATAGATATATATATATATATATATAATCTGTGTATGTCTGTGTCTCTGTGTGTGTATGGGTGTCCATGATTACATTTTGTAAGTATCTGAGGAAGAAGATTTCTCTGTGACACGAAAAAATATTAAGCTTACATTTGCTTTATAATAAATGCATTTAAACTTTTTTAAATGAACAAAAGTCTGAAAACATGACCAAGTTTAAAGTAGTGAAACAATCTAGTAGTAAAACAATTAGATTGAGACAAATGTAACATCCTTCTTTATTTAGGCTAAGTCCTCTGCCTGTCTAGCGTCGCCATTAAAGTCACAGTGCATCCAGGTTGTTTCTGAAATCCTGTCTGCAGAAGTAAAAGAGAGAAGTGCAGCTACTAGGTTATGGTGCAGGCTTCAGATATCTGTAAGAGTCAAAACTGATCTTTCTAAATCACAGATTCGAGAGGGACTGTGAAATTCTGGTGTGTAAGAGCACATTGGTTCTTTATTTACTGCAAGTTTCCACTGATCCTGGCAGGACACCTCATTGCTGCCCTGAAAGTACAGTATATTTATGCAGTGAAAATGATAAAACATTTATTACTGTAGAGAAGGTAATATGCATAATTTATGCTGTTTTTAGCACAATCATTAGTGATATTCTTGATAGATTTTATTTCCAGCTTTCATATCTAATACATGCCTGGAAAATTAATTTTATATCTTTCATTTATTTGCCTATGTTAAAATTGAGTTTTAAGTCATCTTCAAGTGAACAGTTTGATTGCTGCTCATGCATAAGCTTAATTACTTCCCAGGAAGGACAGTATTAAATGTTTTAAACGTCAGAAAAATAAATGAATATGAGCTGTTTGATTAAAAAAAATAGGCAATATCTGACATGTTTGCAGCAGGAGCTTTTTCTTAAAATGCCTCCAAGGCAAAATTTTATTTAGTCACAAAAAAAGAAACCCATTATACAATTTATCATTGGCTGAAACCATATGATTTGTAACACCCTTACAAAATTTTAATTTTGTATGATTAGCTGTGCATCATTAAACAACAGCATTGCATAAGATGTGCTGTAAAATTCTGACAGAATCAAGATAGTGAATATTTAAAAGAAGGCTGTATAGTCATCCATGGTTGTCAAAGGTAGATAATGGAAAACAGAACACTAGAGTGTGCAATCGTGCCTTCATTTAAACTGGTTTTATAGGTGGACTTTAAAATGTGGTCGTTCATAAATGCTATTGACCATGCTATGTGCATGGTATGTTACTTTGGCTGTTAAATGTAACCACACAAAAATGCTTATAGGAACCATAATTTCAATGATTAGTATCTGCATGAAAGCTGAATTTATATTGCTTTTCTTGGTAAATGACTATTCAAGGCTTTTTTTCATTTTCTTCTGAAAATGCTGTCTCTGTAATTGGCAGAGAGGGACATCTTGGTAATGGAAGTGTGAAGGTGTAACGTGTGTTAATTGATACTTCTTAATCACTTTCAGGTATTAGGTCATGATGCAGGAATCTGCGACAGAGACAATAAGCAACAGTTCAATGAATCAAAATGGAATGAGCACTCTAAGCAGCCAATTAGATGCTGGCAGCAGAGATGGAAGATCAAGTGGTGACACCAGCTCTGAAGTAAGCACAGTAGAACTGCTGCATCTGCAACAACAGCAGGTAAGTTTTGTTTTTCTCAGTGATTCCTTAAAACAAATAAGCCTGTTTTTTTGACTATGAAAAAAAAATGTATTCAGAGCAAATTGAGCATGTGTTAAGCTAGAGGATGCTGAGAATGTATTATTATTTGGAACAGGATTGAAGTCGGAGTAAAGAGAGGATTTTCAGATCAGTTACGTCATAGCAGCGCCAGAGTGCCCTTCAGGTACCAGGCTATTAATTAAGTTCACAGGGTGGTCTTCGGAAGGTGCTGGAAAGCTTTGTAACAAATATTTTATAGCTTCTAGTTTACTAACATTGTGCTGCGAATGTGATACTGCGTTTTCCACCAGAGGGCCACATTACTTGATACTTGCTTATACAATGAATTTATTCCAAGTCTGAGTTAAGGTGAAAAGGACCACAAGGACTTTTCACAACACAGATGCTTACCCATGATAGCTGCAAATGTTTAGCTATTAATTAGTGGAAATTTGCCGGGAGGATGTGCAAGATGTAAACACTGTAAGGATTTATGTTGCTTTTCTTAAAAAACTCACTTTAAGATATTTTGAATATACATCTTTGGATAACATTAAAAATCACACCCCCACCCCCCCGTTAGTGTTTCACAAAATACAGTTGTTCTCTTTAAATCTAGAAGAGGAAACAGCTGCTCAATAAAGATATATCGTCAAGTAACCCATTATTCTTTTTATAAAACAGATTCATTTTTCCCTATTTTGTTTGTCAATGAAATATTATTTTTAACAAAAGAATAGCCATTCCATTCTTCACTGATTCAACTCCTTGGAAACAGTGACAGAACAGAGAGCTTCCTATGCATGCACTCACATTAGGCCAGAGTGTGTATACCTGTGTGAAAAAAAAGATTTCAGTTGTTTTAAAGATAAAGGTTATTTCTTTAACTCTCTGGATTGCATTCAGACTAAATGCGAGAAAACATTCAAATGAAAATATAATGAGTTATTATTGAAATATGTCTCATCTTTAAGTTGGTATTTAACGAGAAAGAATACATTTCAAAAATAAAGCAAATATCCACACCAGAGTAAAATTTAATAGAATCATTAATATTTTTTTTAAGTTGTCTTAGAATATATGTACTGAATAATGTCTTAACATTTTGGTATTGTTTTCAAGAATAATCCTCTTAAAGAGCTAGACATAATGTTTTAAATAGGTTCCCTATTATTTCGGAGTTATTTCTCTTTTCATAGACAGTAATTATTAGAACGATCATATTTTAAAAATATTTTGTTTTAACCATTATAGGAATTACATACCTACCAAAGCCCCAGAATTAATCTATTCTTACTAGTTTCTTTTCATAAATGCAGTTTTGGTTTTTTTTTTGCCATAGCTCTTTTCTTCTTTTAATGTATTTACAGGAAATATACCATTGGAGTGCTATAGTAGTCCTACTGACTCCCTTAAGTCAGAGTTCTAAGAATTTATAGCCAAATTCTGTTTAGTTTGAGAATAGACTGCATTTATAAAGGCAAGTGAAATGAATAACTGAAAATGAACATATTAGTTTAGTATTGCGAAGACAACAGTTTCTGAAGGGAAATGCAAAGAAGTAAGTTTTTTTTTTCCTTTCAAAGTTCTGATTACTTACTTAATACTAATAATAATTAAAAAAAACAAGGTAATATCCTGGCTATAATTTATAGTACTCTGGAGGCATTTTATGGTGAGGTGTGTTTATAACCTGAATTTGAAGTTCACTTTGCTCTACACCATTTATGTAAACTGTAAAGAAGTAAATACAAAAACTTATGTTCTTTATACAACTTAGCAACTTCATGTATTGCCTGTTTGTGGAGTGCCCTCTAGAAGTGATTTAACACAGTGGCTAAAGTGGGCATTTCCAAAGGACACTTCAGGATGTGTCTGCAGGAAGATATGTAATAATTTAATAAATAAACATGGAAAAACCTTTGTAAATGTCTCTTCCCTTGGTTATGTTTTAACTATATTAATATAGTTAGATACATAATGTTATGGCATTTTTATCCTTCCATGTATGTATTTTAAAAGGAATTAAAACCATGCAAAAATATGCAAGCAAATTCATAAAAAGTTAAATAATTTTACAAATTTATTTTTACCTGGTGTTATTTTAAATGTACGATTTTGAACAGAATTAAATTACGTCTTGTAAGTATAATTATCTAAATATTGTTGCCTGAGGTCTCTCATTTAGAAATATAATTTATGAGGCAGTGAATGATGAAAACAAAATTTAAGTAAAATTTTGGTTTGCCATGAGCTTCTGGCAGAATATGGTCTGCTTTTAAAATCAGAATGTTTTCCTTGATTTTTTTGGCTTTTTTATTTTTATAGAGTTGAGAAGTTTGACTTAAAGCATGAATTTAAGAGGAAAGGTTTGTGTTTGGAATAGATTGTGATAGATAGTTAATGATAAATAGATTGGTAAAGTAAACGAGATTGATAAATTATAGCTGGAGTTTTTACTTAGAATTTAATTTTTTTAATATTGAAATATTTCTAAAATCTGGAATATTTTAAATTTTTTTTATTTAGAAAGAAAAATGCAATTTAATGTAAAGATTATGTTAGAACAAAAGTCTTATAGTGTAAAAGCCATTTATTTGAATTGGTTTGATTTTCTTATCAAAACTGTGTTACAGAACTATTTGCCATTCTTATTTTCACCATCCCACAAGTTTAAGAGTAAAATGACCACTTCATCACCTTAGATACAATTTTACTTGTCGTATAATATTACTTATTGTGAATGGCTTTATTCCTTTCAAGAAATTTTACCATACATTTCTGATTGTTAATATAGATGAAGGTGGAATACTTTTAATAGTATAATGGACATGGTCATAGGGGCCATGTCTTTGTTAGTATACTCTGCTATTTTCTATTCACTGAAAAAATTAGTAATAAAAAAGCCTTCTGATGAATTACCCTCTCCTTCCTTCTTTTGTCATCTTTTAAAATTAGAACTAAATGCTAGAATGTATAATATATGGAGGCAGCAGGTTTCAAATGTTGTTTTGGATTAACTACATTGAGAAATTATTCTGCATTAAATGTAGAATTTTATTTTGATATTAGGTTTGCAGCATTAATTGTTTGTGTCACTAAGGTCAAAATAGTTTCTAAAAACTTGATTGCTTTTCAGGGTAGATTTGAGCTTGCATTTTGAGCATTCATTAAGTCAGATAATCTTTCTGAATGTTTTATGAGATTGTACTGCTTTGAAGGTGTTTCAGGTAATGGTGTTTAAAAATATCTGGTCAGTACTTTCTTACTGTCAGTTCATTTATCCCTAGCCATTCAAAACAGTTGTCTTTGAGTAACCATTTAAAAATTCACTTCTTTTATTTTCAAAATGAAATTGAGAACAGTGATTTTTTTCAAAGCATAATATTTGACATTTATTAAATAATAGTATAACCTGTGATTTTATTTCATCTTTAGTATCTTTAACCCTGATAATTTGATCAAGGATGTGTAAAAATCTTTAGAAAGACTGCTTAGGTGGAAAGAAATCAATAGCCATGCTAACTCCATCATTTAAACACATCTGGACTCATTCTATGCTTCACTCTTCTGTTTCTCTGTCTTTATTGAAGGGTTTTATGTTTCTATTTTAGTAAATATTAATTTAATTTTTAAATAACACAGCCATAGTAAGTCTCTCATACACACATTAAAAGCACACAATTAATTTACTTTCCCTCAACTTAACCCTAACATTCCATTTGATGGAAAATGTATGTATTTCAGATTAAATGTTGTAACTAAGCAAAAGTTTTTAATAAATTTAAAAAGAAGCCCTGAAATGACAAATTACGTTCAAAAGAAATGCTAATATTTTGCAAAATATTTTCTCCTAGAAATTAGGACTTAAATCTTGCAAAGTACATTAAAAAGAGAATGTATCATGGGCAATTTGATTGTAAATCATTAAAACAGCTATAGAGGCGATATTTAAAACATTATTTGGCCTGTTGATATATCAATTATTACATCCATATTTCCAAAGGCGCTGATAAACACTGGCAGTGTTTACGAAGATGCAGGAAAACTTACTTAGTGAACCCTCACATCTTCACACATGACCTTTTACTATAGTATAATATGAATACGTGATATTTTCTTACTTTAGAGCGAACTTTCTATCCTTGACACCAATTTCATTTATTGCTCACTCTATTGTTGCACAGAAGAATACAATTACTTATGCTTTACTACAATGGGAAGCGGGCCGGTATAATTTTGAACACCAGCTGTGAACATGTGGTCAGTGTTTTTGATAAGCTAGAAGAATGTTTCTCTGATGCCAATATTGGATTTTCTCACATAACCTTATGCACACTTCATCTCAGTTGACAAGCACCTACCCAAATACTGTGTGCATCTAGGTTAAACATACATAGGATATTTCCTCCAATGCTCTAGTGAAAGATCACGGCAAAATGGTAATAAGCATCTATGTAATTTGCCTTTTATACGCTCATTTCTATGAACATATTTTCCCCCTAGAAATGGATTTTTTTAATTTATATAAAAAAGGATTTAAATCTATTTACTATGCAGCGTTGTGTATCTACGGTGTATTCTTAAGTTCCATTCACTATAGGTACAAGTGGTAGCATATTCATTGTGCCTGTCTTGCATGAAAGCATTTACTGAAGAAATATGACAAGAACATGTTCAGCTAATGAGGTCGAATGGTTGTTACATTAAATTTAGGCGGTGTTTTCTATTAGGTTTTATTTATCTGTATTTGCATTCAATCCTTTCACATTTGTTATCTCTCGCCCAATTCCAGGGATGGGGTGCCTTTTCTCATTTCACAGCCAATTGTTACTGTGCGCTGACTCTGTAAGTTGCTGGTGAATGTAAAAGTGACTGCAATTAACCTGACTTTGTTGCTTGAGGAGAATTTGAGATGAGAAATCTGACAGCAAATGACAGGCATTTTTCTGGGTTTAGCACAGAAGAAAGTCTAAGTA